GGCTTCTCACTACCAAACCTTCAGGTAAGAATAGCATACACTACCAATAATATACCTGTAGACAAAGGGGCTAATATTAACATTACATATGCACGACGTGACTCACGTCCTCCTCCTCCTCGGCAGGTTCCTCCGCCTCGTCCAGCGTCAGGTTCGCCGTGGCGTCCTCGTCGCCAGCGTCGCCCAGGACCTCGTCCAGGAGGCCGTCGTCAGCGAGACCAAGCAGGCTCTCCGTCGCAGCCGTCAGGTCCTCTCCTTCTTCAGTTTCACCGATTTCAGAAGCCTGAAATTGGAGAAGAAAATTATTTAATATGTAATAGAAAATGCTTAGAAGGAAAATTAAAGAGAAAATTGCCAATGAAATGACGAAGAAAATTATCACTGAGGTTTTCAGATGCAGCCTTCAGATCTTTATCTTTTTCGTTTCTCAGATTTCAGAAGGATAATATTCGAGACTAAACATATGCCATTAAAAATACTCAAAGGAATTAGATATAAGTAGGTTTAGGTGCGGCATATCAGTGGCGAAACGCAGGCACAGTGAGAGATGAGCAAGCCTTTTCCATCTTTATATACAGAACCAATATGTACAGAACGATCCCTTTTACATACATACAATATATATATACAGAACGATCCTCTTCTATATCAGTGAATGTGAAAAGAATCAATAAGTTTGGCAGTGTTTAACTATTCAGCCTTGTTAAGCGTTTCGGAGGTAGCAGTCCCAAGCAACGCTGCATGGGCGCTGCCTTGGTAGCAATCAAAACGGGAAGTCTAGAAAATAAAAATGAATACAATTTTTTCAATAAGAAATAACTCCACTATACCCTTTTTGGCTTTTTCATCCGATAGATGCCATGCTTATTACTAAATGAATGTGACGTACCTTGTAGAAAAGAAGCAAGAAGTTGATGCAGAATGCCAGCACAAGCGCCATGTACTTGAGGTTGTAGAAGTTCCGTGCCATGAAGCTCATGACCCGACGCATGTAGTCACTGAAGTCAACCTGGCGACAACCAGTTTAACTGTCAAGTTGACGCACTAACAAGATCAACTGTCAAGTTGACGTAGACACCCATAGTTAAACTGTCAAGTTGGTGTACCAACCGCCAGTTGGAATGTTATAGTTGACAGAGCAAACCTTAGATCAAATGTCAAATTGACGTACCATCCCAGTTTGTCAGTTGATCCCAGCAAATTTGATATTATCGTGTAAAACTTTAAAGGCGTCACCGTAAAGTAAATAATTAGATTGGTGCAGTTACTCACTCTGAACTCCTTCACCATGACGTGTAAAGCAGATGAGGAGAAAATAGATTTTCTTTTACAATCTTTTCGTTTTCGTTGTTGTTTGTTTTTGTTTTTATCAGCGGCTGATAGACAAGCCGCAGCAAGCAGGAGTAATGGAGGAGGAGACGTGGATGGCATGAAGGCATGGATGGTTGGGGTAGTGGGGATAGGCACATCGGAGGGTGGGGACAAAAAAGGGGAAGCTGTGTGGAGAGACGGTAATGGGGAAGGGCGCGAAGGGGGCTTGTCAAGGGGAACGCTTTGTTGGGAAAGCGGGACGTCAACTGATAGGGACGAAGGAACCTCGAGGATGGGCGATGTTGATGGAATTTCTGATGACGGAGAAGTGGAAACGACAAGTATGGGCGAAGAAGAAGGAGCGTTAGATGACGAAGAAGAAACCACGAGGATGGGTGGAGTGGAAGAAGCGTTAAATGATGATGATGATGAAGAAACATGCAAGGGGATGGAATATGCGGGTTGGACGTTTGACGATGGCACGGAAGGGACCGACGGGATGAGCGAGGTGGTGGGTAGGCTTGATGGCATAAGAGGGTCGACAGAGGGGACAGAGACAGACAATCCCAGAGAGGAAGTAGGGTAAGCCTCTGCGCTGCTCGCTGAAATCGTGGCTTGGGAGGAGAGTTGAGGAGTGTAAGGTAAGGAGGCGGCAGAGGTTGAATCAATCAGTTCAGGGGGCATGAGGGGAGGATTACAGGGCACGGCTGAGGGAAGTGACTGGTGTGGTCCAATTGCGGCGTGTAAATAAAACATGAAAATCAATGCCCGGTTATCGAAGAGAACGCAAAAAATCATACGAGACTTGTCACTCGTGTTGAGTTAGTTTAGTTCCTAATAACAGTGAAAAAGCATTTTTGAAGAATGATTTTCCTAAATAAAACAGATTAACCGCATAAAATTGGTCCATGACTCATGTGGTGCCAACTTTGTAATACGAAAACCCAGTAAATTTTAACACTGTCGTCGACGATTCAGTCGACACGCAATAAATATCTATTGCTATTAAATTTGGTTTACAATATACTTCGTCAATATGAGACCTGAGAGACTGGCGGGGGTTCGGCGGCGGTTGCTTGCTCTTGCGTCGCTTTAGACTCTTCGGCGGCGACCTGAGCGGCCTCGGCTTCCTTCTTCTCGGCAGCCCTGGCACCAGAAACATGTTTCTCGCGATTTAAAAATATTTTTTTACTTTCTTGCATAAATAAGGGGTTGAGTGGTGAATCTGCTCTGGCTTTGTATAAAGAAGAATCTTGACAAAAACACATTAGGAATGGACGTTTGGACTAGGAATTATATCAGTTGATGCGACAACCGTATAATGATAACCACTACACTTGCTGATGTAACTCCCGTATGATATTATCTATTGCACTGATAATGAAACCCCCTTACGACGAGAAATATTTAAATATTTATAAAAACGTGGTCCACGCAGCAACATTCACTTAACATCACAAATGATGATTGTCAAAGAATTTTGCTTCGAAGAAATTGTTCGGGTTTGGAAGATTTTTCTAATTATAATGATTTTCTACGAAAACATTTCAGCTACAATTCCATAGTTTTTCTAGGACCTTTCAGCTCTCTCATGTCAATAAAAGTTAAACTAAAAATTTTCAGAAAAATATTAAAATCAAATAACAAACAAACAACATCATATTAAAAACATTATTGAACAAAACATTAAAAAATACAACTCAGTACTCACTGCAGTGAGTGACAGAGAGCGCATTTTCTCGTCGACGAAAACGTGAAGTCACGGACGGACAGACGGACATGGCGAGCACAAAAGTGCATTTTTTTCATAAATGAGAAAATGCGCTAAAAATATTAATATTAAACAAATATTAAAAATGGATCAAAAATAAAAAAAAATGAAGATGTTGGAGCGAAGACAATGCAATCAGGCATGGTCTCACATGACAGCAGCAAGAGCTTCTTCAGGCGACACGACGACGTCGGACTCGAGCAGCTCGCTGAGCACGGCCTTCTTGTCCTTCCTGGGACCCACGCTGCCTTCAGCGTCCCCAGCCTTCGGGAAGGGCGCCTCGGTCAGGGCCAGTCTGTCGAGTTAAGGAGATGTTATGAACAAGAATAATAATTAAGACAGTAAATAATTATGATGGCTGGCACAGCGGCGATCGTAAAGTGACGGTTAGGCTTCGGTCAGGGCGAGTTGATTTTGTGGCTAAACACAACCTTTGTTGCTGCCGAACTTGTAATAAATAAATATAGGCTTACGAGTTAACATTTGCAGAGCTGATCAGGGCTCGACCGAAGATCGTCGATGGTATCTATATGCTAAGTCCGTTGGTTTGACTACTAACGAAGAAATAAACCTATGAGTAAGGGTGCAGTACGGGTTATGGGTAAAGTATGGGCAGGATTCATAGAATACGGCATTACAAGAATCTTTTGATAATGGCTCACTGAGCTCAATGGCTCCACCAAATCCAGAAAAGAATGATGAAATGTTTAATGAGCTAAAAAAATAAGCCTAAGAATTGATCCGCATTAATATACATTTGATTTGATACGAACGAAGCACTGATTTTATTTGCAGGAGGTCTCGACTCACTGATTTTATTTGTACGGACGGACAGACGGACATGGCGAGCACAAAAGTGCATTTTTTTCATAAATGAGAAAATGCGCTAAAAATATTAATATTAAACAAATATTAAAAATGGATCAAAAATAAAAAAAAATGAAGATGTTGGAGCGAAGACAATGCAATCAGGCATGGTCTCACATGACAGCAGCAAGAGCTTCTTCAGGCGACACGACGACGTCGGACTCGAGCAGCTCGCTGAGCACGGCCTTCTTGTCCTTCCTGGGACCCACGCTGCCTTCAGCGTCCCCAGCCTTCGGGAAGGGCGCCTCGGTCAGGGCCAGTCTGTCGAGTTAAGGAGATGTTATGAACAAGAATAATAATTAAGACAGTAAATAATTATGATGGCTGGCACAGCGGCGATCGTAAAGTGACGGTTAGGCTTCGGTCAGGGCGAGTCTAGCGAATTAATTGGTTGTGACTAGACAGAACGAACTGGTAATACATAAATACAGGCTTACGAGTTGACATTTGTAAAGCTGATCAGGACTCGCCCGAAGATCGTCGATGGTATCGTCGAAGTCCGTTGGTTTGGCAATACAAGAATTGTTTGATAATGGCTCGCCGAGCTCAATGGTTACACCAAATTCAGAAAAGAATAATGAAGTGTTCAATGAGTTCACCTAAATTAAGCTACTATAAAGTGCAAACTATATATTAAATAAAGTGCATATATAGATTAAATTTTATAGAAACAAAGCAGTCGATAAAGAAATTTGTTTGTAGGAGGTCTGGACTCACTGATTTTATTTGCAGGAGGCCCCGACTCAAGGATTTTATTTGTAGGAGGCCCCGACTCAAGGATTTTACTTGCAAGAGATCTCGACTCACTGATTTTATTTGCAGGAGGCCCCGACTCAAGGATTTTATTTGCAGGAGGTCTCGACTCACTGATTTTACTTGCAGAAGGTCTCGACTCACTGATTTTATTTGCAGCAGGTCTCGACTCACTGATTTTATTTACAGGAGGTCCCGAATCACTGATTTTACTTGCAGGAGGTCTCGACTCACTGATTATTGTCTTCAATGGGCGGTTTTAGTTCAGGCAGGACATCGCTGGGCTGAGGCTCGTCTGCGACAGGCAGGGAGATGGGCACCAACGGGCCGCTCTTCTGCTCCTTCTCCACGACCTGCGCACCAACATCCGCGCGCATTATTTATTAGAATAAAAACTTAATGAATACAATCATCACGGCGATTCCAAAACTACATAAAGGTAACGTATTTTAAACATATAAAGATAATATAGTTAAGTAGCAATTACAGTAATTTGATCAAAACCAGTTTACTTCACATCTTTACTGTGCATCACTCGATCTGCAGCTCTAGAATAGCTGAATAAAGAATCAGGACCTCGAATACAGATTTTCTTTGCATCTTAAATCGTTCGAAGTCTGAGAGTATGCCAAAGTAATTTTTTTTTCAAGTGCACATCACGCCATGCGGGTATATTAAGTTCATATTCAGTGAAAATTTCCATTTTATTTTATATGATGCCTCGGAATTTTACCTTAATTCAAAGCAACCTCCGTTAATAATTGTTCGGGTTTGCAGGTAAAAAATAAAAATGAGGAAAATACCTAAAAAATTAAGAATAAGGAAGTAGAAGCAACCTTGTTTTAGCATTATGTAATTTTAACATTGGAGCTAACGGACAGCATAATAGCATAATAATTTAGTTCTAACTCCAGACTATCTGTGTAGCTCAACGTTTAGCTCAAACCTAAGAAACAGAAAGTTCGATATTTAGCTTTAGCCTTCTGCACATGACATTCTTATAGCTCTGGTTGCTGAAAAAAATCGTTTATTTATGTTCCTACATGATTATCATCATCTATAAGCATTATTTTCTATACCCATTTCTATTTACTTTCCTATTCATTGCTTAATTTTACTACCTTCTCTTGCGGAGGTCCTCTCATGAGCGTCATGATGCCGCCCCAGAACTTCTTGACGAAGTGTACGCCGAAAAGAACGCAATAATACACGGCGTACAGCAGCATCTTTACGAAGCCCATGCAGAGCTCGCTGGGCGGCAGCTGCTTCAGCTCGGCCACCTTCCTCCTGACGTTGGCAGGCGACAGCAGAGACAGGCCATCCTTGAGGGCATCACGACCACGACGCAGTTGAAACTTGATCAGCTCCATGCCCGTCCTGAGGGATGTAAATACGTCACGATTTGTTCCATGCCCGTCCTGACAGACATTAACAAGCGTTGTGGGCGATCTTGAGGGATATTTATACGTGTCGAGGGCGATGAGAGGCTTAGCCTTCAGTCAGTGTGGGGATTAATTGTTCTAACTAAATCAGTTTGCCCTTGTCGGACTTCATGGGTAAACGTACCTACACTCACTACAATTGTTCAGTTGGAAAAATTATCAGATTTTTAAGATGGGTTAAGGTGAGAATACACTAGCTCAAGCTGTTTTCAACTCCAATCCTAATGTTGAGGTCTCTCGTTAACAAGAAATGTCATCCCTGAATACGGTTATAGCGGAGGTGTAGTCTGGAGCAAATTTGTGTTTATAAGCCAGAAAATTTCTAGTCTTGCGACCATATACAGTTTAGATTTGGTACTTCTTCATCTCGTTTCTTCTTTCGTTTCTCGTTTCGTCACATAGTATCTTCAAGTTTACACAGTTCCTCAAATGATTCGAAGAGCGCTATAAGCTATTAGTTTGTCATGTCTTCGTATGTTGTCTTGTGCTTATATTATATTGTTCACAATTTATTGTTCACAATACCCACGATAACTATTTTATCTGATCATACTGTCAACTTGTTCTTGTCCCAGCACAGAAACTAAATATTAATTTACCCCCTGATCCTGGCACGAATCACTTCCTCCATCAACCTCGTTCAAAGAGAACTCTAACTTAATTTTAAAATAAACAAGAATTGAAACTAAATAAATGTCATATCACAATAATGCCTATTCAAATAACGTAGACTTCAATACAGAATATAAATAATAAGAGAAAATAATTTTCATGTCGCAAAAAATCTTTCAGCGCACAATAGTTGGAGAATTTGTATTGGCATCTTCAAAATTAAAAAAAAACACATTAAGATTAGTGTACTAACTTCTCCTGTTCGTCGTCGTTGAGATATTGCATGGCGTCGCTGTGGCATTTCTTGGCCATGCCATCATCTTCCTCCTGCACCAAGGCGGCCGCGTGCTGCATCTCAAAAATGGCGTCCTCGCAGAAATTCACGAACGCCTCGAGCTTTTCCTTGTCGCCTTCGGTGACGATGGAGTAGAAGAAGGCGCGTTTCGACTCCTTGATCTGCGGCTTCTCCCACTGCTCGATGTTATCTTCCTTGATCTCGAAGTAGACGCGTTCGATACGCTTGCAGCCGCCCATGATTTCGATGCGGCCCAAGAAATTCTCGAAGTAGTTGAGGACAGAACCTGCAGTCTGACGCGGAGAGACATTACATAAATATTCTTGTGATGTCATAAAGCTAGAGCACCAGTGAGCAAGAGCACCGGCGAACTAGAGCACCAGCGAATTAGAGCACCAGTAAATGAGAGCACCAATGAGCTTGAGCACCCATGAGCACAAGCACAAGTGAAGTAGAGCACCAGTGAATTAAAGCACCAGTAAACTAAAGCACCAGTAAACTAGAGCACCAGTGAACTAGAGCACCAGCGAGCTAGAACACCTGCGAACTAGAGCACCAGTAAACGATAGCACCCCAAGCAGTGAGCTAGTGCACCAGTGAGCTAGAGCACCAGTGACTTAGAGTGCGCCATTGAACTAAAGTAATCAAGAGCTACTTCTAAAAGATTCTATGCGCGCAGTAAACGCTACTCACCTCTAGGAACTTGGTGAGGCGGGGGTCGTTGGGCATGTGCTCGGATAAGTTGGTGAGCAGCACGGCGAGGTTGAAGCCAATATCCTTGGCTGGGTTATGGAAGCGCTCCGTGAACTCCACGTAGTCGATCTTGCCGTCGTGTATGGCTCACCATGAAGGTCACGGAGTTCGTCAAATCTTTCAATTTCAGGAACATGTCGAAGTAGCGCAGAATCAGCTGTCCGATTGTGAAGAAAATATCACGAAATCAGTGATAAATTTACTCAGGCTTTCGATTAGACTGCTTAAGTCACAAATTTGGTAAGAAAATCACCTTATTTTCATTGAAAAATTCACCATATCTTCATCGAAAAAATTCGACATATCTTCATCAAAAAATTCACCATATCTTCATCGTAAAAATTCACCATATCTTCATCGACACCATGTTTTCGATGAGAATATGCTTAATTGGCGTCTTCTAAACTTTAAAATTCTTAGTGATAATTTTTCAAATTATTAGTGATAATAAGGACGACATGACAGCAGCGCGGCTGCCATCAGAGTCAGGCTAGTGTAAATGGGCTACGTTACCTTGTCTATTAAATGAACAGTAGGTGCATATAAGCAACCGATAAGCAAAATTGTGAGTTATGGAACTGCTTTAGGACTAATAACAACAGAAAAATAAATAGATCCCGCTGCGAGCTCAAGACCTGGAAATTACATGCCTGATTTATCTATCTAATTACATAGATAGTTTTGCATGAATATACTAATAACTTAATTCATTTAATTGAAGCTCACCTCAACGTTAGACTGATTTTCAACGAGAGTGTCCACCATCTGTTTGCCGATGGTGCCGTTCACCACGTTGCCTGTAACACATAACGTAATGGACGTGAACATTCCGTCAAAACTGGATACTCAGTCAAATGCACTCAGAAAACACGAACGGGTTATGTTGTATAATTTATGACAAAATTTCTTGCCCACAGCACGAACAGAGATCGGACTTAGCACTGATTCGCCCTTCTACCAGGCCCAAAGTGTGTCAGGATGACCAACTCAATAAAGGCAATAATTAACAAACATAAGCAATATAATACACGAAGTATGGGATAAGAGAAGAGTCACCCTCGAGCATGGAGAGCATCATAATGACCACATCACTTTTAATGAAAATGTTTTCAACTCACCCTCCATAATGGAGAGCACCATAATGAACACGTACTTCCTAATGACCATGTTTCCTATAGAGATATGACTCACCCTCGAGCATGGAGAGCATCATGATGACCATGTCCTTTTGCAGGTTAAGCAGCTCCTGCAGGAGGTCCACTTGGCAGGTGTGCTTGCTGAGCTTATCCTGCATGTGGGCGAAGAGGAACAGGAAGCCACCAACCGCGTCCCAGAGGCGCGAGTGAGCGAGGGTCTGCTGGTTGCCTACACACGGTCCCTGTATCACCTCAGTCAGCGTGTTGAAAACCTGTGCAAATGACAGGCAAAAAAATTCAACATTAAAGCATATTGTTATAACATTATGTGTTTGTGTCGGTTACGGTCACTCAATACCGTAATATACATTTTTATGAAAATTATCAAAGGAACGCAAAAGCATGAAACGGGTTAACCAAAGGCCACAATACATCACCTGGCTAGCAACTTCGATGGCTTTGAAGAAGTTAGCTTTGCCAGCAGGATCGATGATCTCTTTGGAGGAGTAGTGCCAGTAGAAGTCCATGATGCTTTCCTGCAGTCGTAGCAAGTAGTCTACCGTGCAGTTAATGACGTTGACTGTGGTGGTGTTACCGGCCTGCGTCCTCAGGTAGTTCTGCCAGTCTGCACACAACATATTTGAACTTCATGGTTGAACTATATAAGGTTGTCCCACGAGGATTTCCGTCTTTCAGTTCAGCTTTCTTGTTACGTCACTAAGATCGAGAAAAGTAAACAAACCCGTCATTCGCATGACGGATTGGTTGACTGGTTTGATCGCAATTCAGTGAATGGTTCGATTAATGCACGTGACGACACTGAGATCAGTGAGTTCACAGGCGAACAACGAACTACATCCGCAAAAATGAGCTTCTCCTGGGTCAACCTTATACTAGTTCAACCATGTTTGAACTTAACCTTCGTCAGACTACACGAATGTGATATTTTACATTCATATCTACGCAGTTCGACGAGGGTAAAACGGATGAAGCATCATAAAATATTATTGAACTCAGCATAACTGTACAACAGTCGGATATGTTCGATTGTAATTTGAGTAGCAAAAACGATGTTAAAATACGACACAGTATAGATAAAAAAAGATTTTGTGATGGAAAGAAAAAACGAGATAGTTCAAAATGAGAATTTTCATGTAGAAATTAATACTGATGATTTTACCTGCTTCTCTGTTGAAACTAGATGAACAATTATTTTAATTAAAGGGACATTATTCGAAGTGTAATCATCAAGGACATGTGAACATCTAACCAAGGTTGTGTCCTTCGCAGGTGAGCTGGATGAAGCGGAACAGGGCGCAGGTGAACTCAGCGTCGTGCATGTTCTTCTCACCCGCTGCTCCGTCCGCTCCCACGCCCAGGCCTGGTGGAGGTGAAGCCACACACAGGATGGTTCATATATTTTAGAATTTCTCCACGCAAAAGAAGCTCTACGGTCACTGCAGTTCAGTAGGCGCAACCAAATTTCTCCACGCAAAACAAGAGCGGATAAATTAATTGCAGTTCAGTTGGCGCAACCAAGCCCGAGTAGGCCACGCACGAGTTCATGTACGACCGCTCGCGGCCAAGCTTCACGTTCACCTATCTTGGCCCCCGTTGCAAATTGCGCCCATAGTACATTTTCATGAACATCGCAACAGTTTTGAAGCCAAGTATAAATATATTATTCCTAATTGATAACCGATCAGCGCTCAGTCACAGTAAACGTAGGTATTTGGAGGCGGTAGATCACGAAAAAGTCAGTAGGTATCATTCCGCACCTTCAGCTTTGGTGTTGCGCTCGAATGCGTCGAGGTCGAGCACGGAGCACGAGCTCATCAGACCTGAGATGGAGAGGAAGAACGACGCGTCTTTTTTCTCCTTCAAGTAGTTCAGCATCGCCTGCAATGAGTTATCACATAAATTTAGAGTCATTTAAAAAAGAGTTTGCTTCTAAGTGCTATACGAAACCGTCAGGATACAATATAGAATGGTTCATACACAAATAATTTGAATCCTGTTTGAAAGACTTTTTGTTTGCATTTCTGCCTTGCATTGGTCCGCGGCGTCATTGACTCGTTAAACACAAGCTCATACAAGCCTCGAGTATGAAAGTATAGTCAAGAACACATTATAGATACAGTGGTGCAACGGTGCTTGTTTGGACTGAATGCACCTCCAGCGTTATATATCTGATTAAAGATCAGTGGCTCTATATAATTAACGTTAGTTTGTAAAAATAAGATCAATAGACCAATTTTTAAACCTCCCGAAAAAAGGTCACATTAAATTAATCAGTGACTGTTCAGAATTGGCCAAATCTGAAATTTTGACACGTTGCTCCAGGCTTTGACTCAAGATGCTTTTAGGGTCCTTGACGTACCCAGAATGTTGCTAGCCTCCCTGATGTAATGTAAAATGTTAGGAGCCTCCCTGACGTAACATCAGAATGTGGCTAGCAGCCCTGACGTAACCCATGCACATGTTGCTAGCCTTCCTGACGTAACACCTGGATGTTTCTAGCCTCTCTGAAGTAAACCAGAATATTCATTCACAGCCTGAACGTAAAAGTCAAGATGCGTTTAGCCTTCCTCACTTAACACCAGGATGTTGCTCGCTTCCTGATGTAACTCAAGATATTACTAGCCTCCCTGACGTAACTGAGGGTGCTGACTCACGGCCTGCANCACGGCCTGCACGTCGATGTTGCCGCCACGGAGGATGGAGATGCCGAGGAGCAAGGTCTTCATGACGCTCTCGGTCTGCTGGCCCTTGGCTGCGGAGATGTGGAGGAGGACCATCTCTGCCACGCCCCTGTTGGCCAGCCGTGCCTGGTGGAACAGCAGTTTCTGCTTCTCCAGCTCTTGTTCCTGCGAGAAGTAAAAAAGTTTTTAAATCACTGAGAAAATAAGAAAAAAAAATTTGTTCATCAGAAAAAGGCACGCAAATAACTTTACCAGCCTCGATTTAGCACTTAAATTTCTTACAGACGTTCTTTGCATAAATTGAAAATTTCAAAATATATTAAAAGGCTATGAGTACTGAACTAATGAAAAGGATTTGTTGTAAGAACAATTATGAATGAATCACATGCGACCAAATTTTCCATGTTGGTGTATAAAACACCTTTCAAGTCCTCTTTCTATAGTTGGCTTAACAATATTGATTGCATTTAAATTTCAAGAAGCAATTGGATTTATTATCGACAAAGAATTTTGTTTTTACTTGGACATTTAATCCACGATGGTAGTTTAACCAATAATGTTTTAAAATAATTTTATTTTTCTTTCACTTTTGCAATAGCTCAAATAAGAAAAATCTTCATATAATATCACACACATAATCAAAGAGAAAGAGTGGCGACTTAATTACCTCAAAGGGCTATAATGCCTTATATATACATATATAAATAAGGCCAACATGTAATGACGGAAGAATAATTGTATGCTAGAATTGCATTCCCTTTCGTTCCTAGAGGTGTTACTTCTTAATATTTGTACCAAAAACAATAAAAAAATTTGTGAATACAAAATGATTTTTTTTAAGGCAGCAAAGCTCACCGTGAGATCCTCTTTTCTCTTGTTGCAGCCTCGTATGGCAGCATGTTAGGGGGCAGAGAACGCTGGTCATGCACGAGTTAGCGATATTGAGTTAAAACAACCAATACTGTAATAGAAATATTGTTAGTAAAGTCACTTACACAAATTCAACACAAAAATAGTAGTCAAGCAATACTGCACTAGCAATGTTGTTAGTAAAGTCACTTACACAAATTTTGATAAAGGTCACTGCCTTACATTGATGGAGGCAGCGGGATCTCCGCCGTCATCACCACCTTCGTCGTCACCTTCTTCCTCTTCTTCACCACAAGACTTGGCCATGATCTCGGCGTAGTTCATGTAGAGCTGGTCTTCTCCATGTCCTGTATTGAATTAAATAGTAATCAATCAGGTAATTATCGGTAAAAATACTATCATTCATAAGTATTCTTTAAGAATTACTTGAACTTTTGTCTACTGAGATAACAAACGCGACCCCCAAACTTTTATCAACGAATAACGTTGATTGTCAAGTTTGTTACCTGGCAAGTCTTTAGCTACGAATAACGTTGACTATCAAGTTTGTGTATTACAAGGCAGGAAGGCAGGATTTAGTCTATACTGACACTAACTATCGTAACCACAGCTAGGGCTTCAGCTACGGATAGCATTGACTGTGGATAATGTATCCATAGACGAAGAGCTTAAGAATGCGCGTAAGAATGTGTATAGGAATCTACAATTAAACGCGAGTGTGGACTTGCCTCCAGCACTCTCAGTGGTGGCCTTCCTGCTGAAAGTTGTCACGAGCTGCGTCAGTTGGTCTGGTTTGTCTTCCTCTTCTTCCGCCTCCTTCTTTTTGCTCTCGGCTTCCTCGAAGGACAGCTGACAAAAAAAAAAAGCGTGTCAAGTCTAAGTGTAGATATCACATCACGCATTCTCGACCATCATGATTGCGTAAATCGCAGTTAAGATAAATTATTTCTTCATGCTAATGATCGTTCAATGTATATCGTGTATCGTATAGCAATTATAGACACAGTGTTTCAAGAGAAGCGCAATTTTGTTCAAATGAGATTGAAGAGTGAAGTGTAATTCACCTTAATATATTCAATTACTGGAGATCCATCTTACGGTTCAAAATATTGACCGTATGACTACATTACGTGACAAAAACTTATACTCTATAGCTTCACGCCGAGGAAAAAAATGCGCATCATATAGCGCAATACGGTTATGTAGTGTTGAACCATGATCTCATCCATTAACATGAGCCTTAAGCAGATCTAACACCGTGAATAGCGTTTTACTGCAGATACTTATTACCGAAAAATGGCGAATCAAACTGTTTTCACTAATCGACCGAAACGCAAAGAGGAATTAGTTTGCTGTTATGCCATAATTTAAATTTACAGGAGAACACCGAAAGTACGGAGAGTGAAAACAACTGCCACAAAAACATCAGATATCGGGATTTTTTTTCATGAAATTAGGTCAAAGCTCACTGCCAAATATTCATTAACATAAACCTAAATCAAGGAAGAAAAAATGAGCCAAACTATCATTGAAGTTCTTTTCGGACTTGCATGCATTACAATTCCACAGAAGCGTTGATGTAAACGGAATCTGCCTAGCATAATTTTACAATATTTATTTTGGTCGCCAATTTGACGAAAAAAAACTAAAGAAAATAGAATCTGGACAATCTGAACTGTTTGAAGCTGAATTACTACGAAATGTGAGCTTGAAGTTTTGCATCAACACTGCCACGATGGCTTCAATATCATGAGATATGCTGATCATTTCTCGACCGTCAAAGCCCAATGTGCTCGAAACAAGCTTGCCACAACTCTACGCTCACCGCCACTTCCCCTAAGCAAGGTACGAAATAATTTGCTAAACGTTAGGACCCCTATGCAAAGTACGAAATACTTGGCTCACCGTTAGGAATCCAATGCAAGATACGAAATAATTTGTTCACCGTCAGCTTCACTATACATGATAAAATATGATTGGCTCACTGTCAGGTCCCCTATGAGAGGTACGATATTATTCGTTCATCGTCAGGTCCACTTTGAAAGGTCCGATAGTATTGGTTCATCGTCAGGTCCCCTATGAAAGGTCCGATAGTATTGGTTCATCGTCAGGTCCCCTATGAAAGGTCTAGTGTGGACTTGCCTCCAGCACTCTCAGTGGTGGCCTTCCTGCTGAAAGTTGTCACGAGCTGCGTCAGTTGGTCTGGTTTGTCTTCCTCTTCTTCTGCCTCCTTCTTCTTGCTCTCGGCTTCCTCGAAAGACAGCTGGCCAAAAAATGAAAAAAATATAACTCAGGACTCACTGCAGTGAGTAACAGAGAGCGCATTTTTTCGTCGACGAAAACGTGAAGTCACGGACGGACAGACAGACGGACAGACAGACGGACGGACATGACGAGCGCAATAGGGCATTTTTCCATAAATGAGAAAATGCGCTAAAAACATGAACGCATGAAGCATGTCAAGTCTAAGTGGAGTTATCACGTCACGCCTTCCCAACCATCATGATTACGTAAAAATCGCAGTTAAGATAAATTATTTCTTCATGCTCATGATCGTTCAATGTATACCGTGCCTCATATCTATTATTGACACAGTGTGTCAAGAGGAGCGCAATTTTGCTCAAATGTATTTGAAGAGTCAAGTATAATTCACCAAAATAATTCAATTACTAAAGATCCATCTTACGGTTCAAAATAATGACCGTATGAGTACATTACGTAACAAAAACTTATACCCTATAGCTTAACGCCAAGAAAAATGCGCATCATATAGCGCAATACGGGCGCAATTGGTTCATCGTCAGGTCCCCTATGAAAGGTCTGATATTATTGGTTCACCGTCAGGTCCCCTATGCAAAGTAAAAAAATTATTAGCTTACCGTTAGATCCTCTATGACGACCTCTTGACCGGCATTCTCATCAGAAAGCCAGAACTCGCGATACGTTCTCAGGAAGAGGTTAACTGCGCGATGCCTGTAAGACATGTTGGTTGGAAAAAGCCCAGGTTAGACTGAAATGTTCGTTAGTGAGTCAGTAAAGAACCATGGCTTAATTGTCGCCTCCTCCCCCCCACCCACCACTTAACGCGAACCTCGGACAACGCACCTCTTCCACGCCATATTCATTTAATTTCTTTTTATCACGTTTGAAAATACGCTCGTTCAAATAAAAACTCGTTAGAAATCTTAATAGTTATTTTTTCAAAGAAATTTAAAGGCAAAGGCCACGAGAAGCGTTGAGGAGGTGCTCATCATACGTCGACTTCAACAGCAGCTTCATGGGAAAATAAAATGTGAATTTTCAAGTGACACTCGGCCGAGTGACAATCGACCGAGGCGGTGTGGTTTCAACCCTAACAGGAACGTGACGATAGTCATACATTTTTACGATTCAACAGAAACGATTTGAAAACAGGGTTGCAGTCAAGTTGTAGTGAATGTGAATTGCTTATGCACATGAATTTGAGTGATCTTGTTGCGATTGTTGATCGTGAGAATAAATAAGAAAGTATAGATGAGCAAACATATTCTTATGGAATAAAATAATTTTCATAAATGAGATACTAAAACAAAGCTAGAAAATGCTTTCGCGGACGAAACTCAAGAAGATATTCAATAAAGAAACAAATGACGCATGGTGACGCTAATAAAACATTTGCCTGAGATGGTAACATTTGCCTTCACAATCTTTCATCTTTGCAATTCTCTGCGTAAGTCACAAAATACCACGGTTTTTGCGCTGTGAAAATTTTCATTCAAGTAAGTAATCATGACAATTAACTTCAAGCAACTGGAAGAATTTATTCCCCTTGCACGTAACTGTTTCGAAATCACATGAGCTGCTGCTGAAGTCGGTTGCGGTTGCCCTCGAGGACAAGCAAGTTATTGAAGCGATTGTATTTTGTTGTTTTGAGGATTCAAGCGCCTAGCATAGACCATGACCGACATAGATTCATCTTAGTGACCACAAAGGAAATTCTAGCCAGAGGCGAGGACGTGACCAAAGACTAACTAAAGACCCGACACTGAACTATACAGCGGCCTTGATACCAAGTCTCGTTCTATGAACGTCATATTAGACAGCAAGATGCATAATTAAAAAATTCTACTGCCTATAAATTAAAATGCAATCATATCGTACATGAATAAATAAAAAAATAAAAAAAAGAACCGAAAACTAAAAAAGAAAAGGTTTAAAAAAAAAGAGAAGAAAACACACAAAGATATGATCTGTACAAGATTGACTGCATCAAGCAAGCTCCCTCCCTCAGCACGCATCCCAAGCATAGAATATAGCGAATAATTTGAAAAATGGCTAGCTGGTGACTCAGGACCAGCAATAAACATAAACAAAAGACGGAATTAAGATGTTTTTGCAGTTTTGAGAAATATTTTTCGCGCTTCATGGTCCATGTTGGGCGCGCGCGGAGGGACAGGCCAGGGTTAACGTTATTAACTGCCACTCTAGTATAAAAATTAACAAAAATCTAGAAAAAATCTTCCGTTCCGAAGAAAATCTGAAAGCCAATATTGAGAACAATAAAGCTATCAATCCAGAACCAAAAAAAAAAATCGTCCACACCTTTTACCTGCATTAAATGAAGCGTGGAAATGAGAAAAGAAAAAAATTCAAATAAATCTGGAAAAAGCGTAAATCGGCAGCGATAATGAAATTAACGGAAGGACCGTGCGGATGACCTCACCTCCGCAAGTTATAGAAGAAAACGGACCGCAGACAAGCAATTGCTGCTCGCTTGCGTGCAAAGGATAGGAGCTTCTTCCAACCGGAGCCAGAGGTTGGGGGCGTACACGCCTGGACAGGGGTTAGTGAGTGAGGGTTAAACCCTTTGTCTACGGATGCATCATCCACCGTCAAAGATAAAGATTGATGTTACCAGGCCTAACGTTGTACCAAAAGGCCTGGTATAACCGGAGTTACCATCCGTAGACAAAGGGTTAATTTAACTTGGGTTATTCCGTCACCGGGCACAAAATCAGAGGGAAAGAGAATGAGGGTTTTACAGAAATAACCGACGCTGTGCAGAAAATATTAGGCAAGTTAGTTGAAATGGTATAGCGATCCATGGATATAAAGTTTGTATCGTTCACGATTGGATGAAAACTCCATGTATTGAATATTTGATTTCATGATTAACTGTATGATTTTTTGGAATAAAGAGTTTGTATTTGAGGTGCTGCTTATATGAGTAGAACGAGAGACCGGGAAAAAACTGAAAGATCTCTTGCCCGATAAAGAAGTTAAGGGGAATTAATCACAACAACGTTAATTCAGTTGCACAATGGAATATTTTTTGTAAGAAGGTTCTGATATTCCAACAATTTTTCACACGGAGCTCCTGAGTAGTCGAACTGAAATGAACGAACGAAAACTTCGACTGAGCACAACACCAAACCATGCAGAACTCTTCATCACAGCAACGTCGGCAACACTAAAGTCGGTGGGTGGGGGTCCAAAAAGTTTGGGGGGCGAGGGGGTCCACCCGAATGGGTAAAAATGGCTTCCAGCCTTCCAAGAAAATGGAAAGCAAGGAGGAAATACCTCGTTGATGCTGGAGCTGCAGTCACTCGTTAGTAAGGTTAGTATCATGAACATTTCTTAACTATTAACTAACATAATTCAACTAACATAGTTCAATCTTGACTCCAGAGTAAGATCAAACAATTTGCAATATTCACATTTATTTATATTTGTATTGAAAATATACACAGGGAGAAACAAATATGGCAATTTAAATGCGATCGTTCTACACACTGAGGACAAGAATAAAACGGTGCTCTGCAAGACATGTTAGAACACAGAATGTTGTGAGGTGGAAGACATTAATTTCAATTTCATAAGAATCGAGAAAACATTAATAACACAATGTAAGTATTTTAGTGTTAGGCGTCGCCCGTATCCAGTCTACTAAAAAATAACGCCGGCCAATATTATGTTAGATTAATTTTACATATTAATTTTATATTATGGTAACTGTAGAATATGGCTCGTAAAGTTCATGGCACATTAAATAACAAATGTTATTGCATGCAAAAAATCAACGGTATACACACGATACATACAGGTATCGTTGTCTGAGAATCGTGTGACACATTTGTGACGAAAGCAATTGACGAAGTCGTTTAATAAAGCGAAAGGATGACTTTGAGGCCCTCGTTTAACTTCGCCAGATAAGAACAGGACATGAGTGAACAATCATATTAGCTACTAATGAGTGAACAGCTAATATGAGTGAACAATCATATTAGCTACTAATGAGTGAACAGCTAATATGAGTGAACAATCATATTAGCTACTTTAAAGTTAAGCAAGTATGAAACACGTCTCCACCACGTGTAAGTGAATGAACGAAATAAACAAACCTTAGTGGGTCAAGATGACCCACACTAAGACAAAAAGCACACGAAAGTAGGGCTATTTGGACAAAGTCTCTCTCATTTTTCTGAATGTATATTACATCCTCGTTAAGAAACTAGATCCGCGAGGTACGCAATGCAAAACAAATGGCGCGCCTGTATATAGCAGCCGGCGAAGCTCGCATATTACGTGACCGTAGATGAGCTACGTGAGGTTGAATAAATTAAAAAATTCGGAGTCTTGGTAGTGAAATTAATAATTATCAACGTGATTTTCATGAAGAAAAAATCGTATATCTGTTGGAATAATAGTGATTATTAAAATTTCGGAAAGAATATCTCTTAACACCTGCACAATTATAAGAATGTGTGTTGTGTGTTTTTGAAAATTCAGCAGGCGTCAATCGGTGGACAAAATCGGTTGCGGAGATTTTGTCAATCGGTGTTTGATTGATGGTGCGATCACCACCTTTGATGACGGTGCGATCGGTGGACAAACACCGTCAATCGGTGGACTAACATGGTTGCGGCATGTCAGAGGACGAGGTTATAATTGGCAGACACGACGAGCCAGCGGACACGGCTAGTCTGTTGACACGGCTAATCTGTGAGCACGACTAATCTGAAAACACTGTTAGTCAGTGGACACGGCCAGTCATCGGACGCGGTTAATCATCACAGGTTGTTAATCGGCGTACACGGCAAGTCAGAAGATGGTGGCGAGGTTAGTGCACACCCCACACAGCAACTCCAGTACCTGGGCATCATGTGAAGCGACGTCTGTCGGAAGCAAGCGATGACTGCGCGCTTACGCTGTATGGATACGCACGAATGCCAGACCTGCTTCTCGTGCTGCGGGTGGTCGATCTGCGCGTGCAGGCATGCGCGCAATTTTAGACTTAGACTTAGATTTTCTTAGATTTTTTCTTAGATTTTAGACTTTAGAAACAAATGTGGAAATATTACTTTACTTGGGCAGAGTCCGCAATTTCCCAAATTATCTGACGTAAGCTACGAGGGGTTACTGGTTTATAGAATACGTGGTCATTTGTTTACGTTTTGTAGGGTGGCAATTGTTAAGTCACTGTGTAGGTTATTTGCTCCCATTTGTAGGGTGCCATTTGGAACGATGGATATTTGCAGGTGGAGATTTGTTTGCTTTGTGCAGTGTAGGTGGACGCAGGTTTTCTGATAGTGTGGGTGGACACTAGTTAATAATCTCATTGTGAAGGCTGTACTCATCTCAGTGTGTATGCATCCAAGTTTGCTAGTGAAGAATGCGAAATTTTGAGAGTTGAAGTGCATATAAACTTCATCACAATGTAGCTTGGCCAGATATCAATGTAGAATCTGACACAGGCGTGTCAAAAGAAGTGTTAGCACCAACACTTGAATGCTGTTGAAGTACAACTCATGCCAGCTCAAGCGGTGAAACTGGAATTGACGTGGTCCACTTGACGGGGATAAGCATCAATTTGCTTGATCAAGAGAGAGATATGGAGAGAGTAATGGAGGTGCTTGAAAAGATGGCAGTCGATTGGATAGACGAAAAGTGAATCCGATGGATTATGTAGAACATCGACGCACAGGACGCTCAACTTTTGAAAGGGGATTGGAGAACCATTCAAACGAGCGTTGACGTGGAACAGGATTGCTTTCATCAGTTGACCAGTTCGGGCTGCTGCCGCCGCAATAGTCGTCGATTAGTTCACAATAAGATTCTGTTGTGATGGCTTGGCGTTGTTGCAGAAAGTTAAAGAAGATCACATGTCCACAGATAACCTCAATTCTGCAATATTTTTCCTTTTCTGGAGAGTTATCGCCTCGGTGGTCATAGGTGTATAATAACTATTCTTAAGATTACCTGTTGTCGTGAAGGATCCATTTTCCAGCTCATTCTAGTTTTGGGTGTGAGGAAGTAAGAAAAATAGACCCACAAAGATAATTTTTTTGCTCATCATTCAAATCATCGAGAACTCCTTTTTCCAAGTTTTCAAATTTCGCAATACGTTTTAATGCTTCCAGGACCGCATTGGGGCAAGCGTTCATCTCTTTTGCCATCCACCGCATTTTTTTGACGAGGCTGTACCCACCAAAGTCTTCAGATCCTCGCCCGCTTCGGGACGGCTCATCTTTGAGGTTAGAATCTTCGAAACGACATTTTTGCAAGCCAATTCGAGCATTAATACAACCAGACCAAAAAAATAATCGAGCTCCTGCGCTTTCTTTCACTTCGGATTCTTGAAATAATTGACCGAAAATCGTTTAAAGACCTCACATTGTTATGAACTACGAAGAGGCAAATAATTTGACGAAGGCGCATAAATAAAATGAACAGAGTAAATATTCACAGAACAAATTCTGTATCAGTCTGTATATATAATGATGCAGTGAATATTTTTTTCGAGACATGAGTCTAACGAAACCTGACATTAAAAAGTGGAAAACAGAGGAAACGACCTAGAGAAACGTTTTGCATCTTTTCCATATTCCTAACGCTGACGAACAATAAAGAATTATCACTAAGAAAACAGAACGTAACTAATCATAAAAAACACAACGTCCCATTTAATTCCAAGTGAAATTTGAGCTCAAGTGACTTACAAATAGCTTAATATGAGCACTGAGAATTAAACAGCATATGACAGAGAGCCTATTTAATAGTTCAAGGCATTGTAGATGAATGACTTTCACTTAAATTTGTGCGGTGCATGACAGATGAATTATTACACATGTATTTTTGATGCAATTGATGACAATAATCAACAATCAGCTTGAGGAAGCACCCGAAAACCCCGGAAAAACACTTGAAGCGTCCTTACTTGACGATATTATGCAAATATTTGACGATATTATGCACACATCTCTGTTCAACACCCGAAAAAACTTGAAGCGTTCTTACTTCATACCAAAATACTTGATATTATGCTTTTATCTCTGCTCATATTAAAAAATTAGAGCAAGACTCACAGCCAAGAACTTCTCCTTGCAGTGCTGCACGAGTTCCTGTTCTCTGCCAGCGAAGAGGTTCAGGCCCACGGGCAGGAGGCGCTTCAGACACGCCACCATCAGGGAGGACGCGAGCTCCTTGCCTTTGTCGCGCTTCTTGTCGCGCGCTCGCTTCTTCTTCTGTTCATGAATATAAAATGATTTGATCATGAACATAAAATGATTTGGTCATGAATATAAAATGATTTGGTCATGAATATAAAATGATTTGATTTGAATCATTTGATAAAATGATGGTGAAAAGCTCACCGTGAGATCCTCCTTTCTCTTGTTGCAGCCTCGCATGGCAGCATGTTAGGGGACATAGAACGCTGGTCATGCACGAGTTAGCGATATTACGTTAAGACAAGCAATATTGTAATTGATATGTGGTTAGTAAAGTTAATTACACAAATTCAACACATAAATAGTAGTCAAGCAATACTGCACTAGCAATATTGTTAGTGAAGTTACCTACACAAATTCAACACAAAAATACTAATCAAGCAATACTGCACTAGCAATATTGTTAGTGAAGTTATATGCACAAATTCAAAACAAAAATTCTTATCAAGCAATACTGCACAAGCAGTATTGTTCGTAAAGTTACTTACGCAAATTCAGCACATAAATAATACTCAAGCAATACTGCACTAGCAATATTCTTAGTAAAGTTACTTGCACAAATTCAACACAAAAATAGTAGTCAAGCAATACTGCACTAGCAATGTTGTTAGTAAAGTCACTTACACAAATTCAACACAAAAATAGCAGTCAAGCAATACTGCACTAGCAATGTTGTTAGTAAAGTTACTTGCACAAATTCAACACAAAAATAGTAGTCAAGCAATACTGCACTAGCAATGTTGTTAGTAAAGTTACTTGCACAAATTCAACACAAAAATAGTAGTCAAGCAATACTGCACTAGCAATATTGTAAGTAAAGTTACTTGCACAAATTCAATTAAAAATGTTAGTCAAGCTATATTGCAA